TTTAAAAGGATGGTTTGTGCAATTGCACCAAATGCTCCTGACCCCATGCTCATTTATTTTTAGTGCAAACTAATCAAAGGTTGGGTAAAATGCAACCTGTGAGCCAAGAACACTCCCAGGGCCTCAGATGTGACCTTCTGGGATGGCTGGAGCCTCCAGTCCCCCATTCACTATTTTTTTCTCAAAAAGCCATTTATTCTCTCTAGTAGGTGTTGGAGGCAATGTTTCAATGTTCTGGATCCCCCAGAATTTCTGATGCCCCATCTCAATTTTTTTTGGTAGATGAAAAATGTTTTTGGCCACTAGGGGGCATGCATATTACTTAGATCAGTGGTCCCCAACCTTGGGCCTCCAGATGTTCTTGGACTACAACTCCCAGAAGCCTTCAGCACTACCTCTGCTGGCCAGGATTTCTGGGAGTTGAAGCCCAAGAACATCTGGAAGCCCAAGGTTGGGGACCACTGACTTAGATCAGGCCTGAAGACATTCAGTGACTTTTTGTGGACAGTGAGAATTGTGATCTGAATCTCCTCAGCCCCATACTCTAAACACAACTCTGACCGTCGAACTTTAACTTTCATCACTGATAGTTCTTCCTCTCTGTTTTTCACAAGCTCAGCATGAGTTAACAAAGTGATGCAGCAGCAAAAAACAAAGTAAAACACCAGTGTGATAAGACTAAGGGAAGTCCTAGTGATACTATTCTCTTTTGGTGAGACCTCACGTAGATTATTGTGTCCAATTCTGGATACCACATTTTAAAAAGAATATTGAGAAACTTGACCATGTCCAGAGAGAAGAAGAAAAGGTTTCAAGACCTTATGAGGAAAGGTTGAAGGAACATGGCATGTACAGACTAGAGAAGAAAAGGCTGAGATTGGTGACATGATAGCTATTTCAAGTATTTGAAGGGCTGTTATATGGAAGATGGAGTGGGCCTGTTTTTACAGCTCAAGAGGATGGGACCAGAAATAATGGATTCAAAGAGAGGAGATTTAAACTAAACATCAGGAAGAACTCCTTAACAAGGAGAGCCATTCAAGAAGAATGGAATGTTGCAAAATTATCTGCAAAAACATGTCACTCCTCCAAAATTCTTTGCTAAACATTGTTATGCTTGCAACACCATCTCTTTGAAATGTTCTTGCTTTGTTTTGTATTATTTTTTTTACACTAACTAAAACCAAAATATTAAGATGGGTGGCTTTTCTGTAGGATTACAGAAATCACAAGTTACAATCTTTGTTTAAAACCAGAGTAGTTTCCTAGGTGGAGGCAACTTCCATATAGGAGTTGTTCCCCAATAACAAAGGTACGAGCAGCCACTTCAGAGCACATATTCTGAGATTCCTTGAAACACTAGCAAATCGTCAATGCAATAGTAACATCATTATGAGTATATTAATGTCCTACTTCTACTCCTATCACCATGGATTGTGCTATTTTATTCTTTCGATTGTTATTATACAATAATTTTTTTAAAAAAAATCTAAAATCATTATTAGCATCAGTATTACTGTTACTATTATTATTGACATCATTAATTTATTACTGTTTTACTTCAGTAAAGAGTACAATCAGGGGTTTTCCACTTTAGGTGCCAAAATATGTTAGAGCACCCTCTTCATGTTCCGTAATGACTGGCCTGCCAAAAAACACATAATAGCTAATCATATTATTTGTTTCCCATTTTAATTTGTTTTATTTCTATACAATGTGTCCGATGGTCTACAGTAACAATGAATAACATGAGTGAAGATTCCTAGCATATGCAAGACCAATTAATGTGTCACTTCAATACCTCTAGAATCCTAAGTTTATTTATTATGTTATTGAATAGAGAGAGATGCACTGTATTGCAGTGATGCAGGCTATGATAACATAGCACTAACATACCACAATACAGCTCCTCACCCCAGTCCCTCCAGACTATCTCAAAGATTAGAGGCAGTTGATTAGAGAGAGAAGAGTGTTTTTGTGCCCAGGTCTTGCTTGTGAGCTTCTCTGAGGCATCCGTTTGGCCAGTCTGGGAACAGAACTGACAACTAGGTGGGCATTTGGTTTGAGCGTATAAGGACATGGTGGCGCTGCGGGTTAAACTGCAGAAGCCTCTGAGCTGCAAGGTCAGAAGACCAAGCAGTCGTAAGATCAAATCCATGCGACAGAGTGAGCCCCCGTTGTGTGTCCCAGCTCCTGCCAACCAAAAGCATGTAAATGCGAGTAGATAAATAGGTACCACCTTGGTGGGAAGGTAATGGCGTTCCGTGTCTAGTCATGCTGGCCACGTGACAACGGAAACTGTCTTCGGACAAAATGCTCGCTCTGTGGCTTGAAAACGGAGATGAGCACCGCATCCTAGAGTCGGAGACGACTGGACTAAATGTCAAGGGCAACTTCTACCTTTACCTTTACCTTACCTATAAGGCCTGTCTTTTGTTTTTGTGAAAAATCTACTTTCTAATCATTTTGGATCCCTTTTTTAAGTTTTTAGTTTTAAAAAGGTGTTTTGCTTGTTTACTTGTTTGTTTCAACTACTCAGTTATTGCTGTCATGTCAATATAATTATTTCCTTAACAGGAAGAGCAAGCATCAGATGTCTGATTTGTGAACATCAGTCACCCTTGTGCTAATGGTGTATGTATGGGATTTGTGTTTCAGGTTCTCAGGGAATGTAACAAATTGGCTGAAATGGAGGAACCTCCTTTGCTCCCAGGAGAAACAATTAAGGACATGGGTAGGTGCAGACATTTCTCTTTGTAACTTGTTGGCAGAGTGGATCACACCAAGGGACAAAAGTGCATTACAAGTAGTCTGTCATTAGAGCTGAAGACATACAAGTGTCCCAGAGCAATAATTTAGTCATTTATTGGTCTCTGAGCAATCTCACCTTAAAATTCAGTTCCTGTTTAGCTCCTAAAGATCAGTCAGAGAAGAAACCAAGTTTATTTACAGACTCCAGAAAGTGAAAGATTCTCCTGTTCTGACGCTCAGATGCTTTCAGCTGTCACACAGGTTATCTGTTGTATGTCGTTCAGCTGTGGGCTGAATGATGTCACACTTAACTAGTAGCAAACTCAGTTCTTATATTTCTGATGCTTATGGAGAAAAAAAAGGCACCGTCCACACACAAGAGAAACTATCGATCTTAAGAAACACATAACATTTATGGTGAGCATGAAATTCAGTGGGTTGACTGGGAATCTTAGCAGGAACAATCTATGCTACAGTATTCTGTTGCAGGGCACATTCATTTGGTAAGAACAGGTTAAATATGCATAAAGCAGTGCCCTTAGACTGAATGTTCATTTTACCATACAGTTTGGTCCCCTCATTTTATTTTTGTTAACGTTCACCTCATTGCTTCATTCCCTGGATGAAACTGCAAGATGACCACTGAAAAGAAAGTTTTATTCGTGGGGGAAGGTTGAGAAATCGATTTGCCGGGAGCCAAAATGTTATCAAAAAGATTTCGGAAACGCAGTTCCTTTTAAAATATTATCATTTTCTTTCCAGCAAAAGATGTTACTCACATCTGCCCATTTACTGGTGCTATTAGAGGAACGTTGACTGTCACAAATTACAGGCTATACTTTAAAAGCATGGAAAGGGTAAGCCTTAATTAGTTTCTTTTTACTCTTTCTTACGCTTTTAAAAAACAATTATTTATAAATTGTACGTAGAAAACAAAACTTTAAAAAATGTACATACATTTAACGTGCTCTCTCCCCCCCCTCTTTCTTATGTTTTACCATTACCTATTATTGCAAATTCAACTTCAAATTCAGCTCAGGTTTGCATGCCAGGGGACAAGGATTTAGCACTGGCTTCTTACATTAAAAGGATCTCTCGTAACAGGTGATGGGTAAATATCCATGCTTCAGCAGAACGTAGAAAAGTTATTTTGAATTATTTAAGGAAGTGGACTTATCCATGAAAGCTCGCATTAAAATATAGCAGTTTGTCTTTAAGGTGCCACAATGTTTTTGTTTTGTTTATTTATTTATTTTTTATTTTTGCCTGATATTTTTTAATGAACTCCTTTATTTTTATTTTGGTTTTGCCTGATATTTTTTAATGAACTCTCAGAATCCCACATCCAGTTTGCTGACTGGAAGTTTCTGAGCATTGTAGTACAAAAAAGTAACTTTTCCCGGCTCTGTGCTTGAGATCCTGGAAAAGTGCTGCTGGCCTAAGTAGACAGTACTGAGGTCAAAAGATCTGTGCATCATAGAGTGTGATAGGTTCATATGGTTTTGTCACTGCTAGCTTCATCTTGCCACTGAGATTTTTATATACGTATTCCAGGCTCTGGACAATAGTGAATAGTCCTTTGAGCCTTTGTGAGCCTTTTTATTCATATGCTGCTGTTTCCCCCAGGACCCACCTTTTGTTCTAGATGCTCCTCTCGGAGTTATCAACAGGGTCGAGAAAATTGGAGGGGCTTCCAGCCGTGGTGAAAATTCGTATGGTTTAGAGATTGTATGTAAGGTAAGTTTATCCATCTGCAGTTGGTGGGTTCTTAATCCACAGTAGTCTAACTATAGGGATTTGGGGTTCTGTATGCTTTTTTTACTGGTTTCAGATAGGTCATCTCTCCAGAAACCTGACACAATGGAACTCACACCAGAGACAGAATAAGAGAATTGGGAAGGATTTGTTTTTTTAATGCGGGGGGTATCTCATAGGTTAGTTTTCCCAACCTTGGATGTATGTAAGGTAAGCTTATCCATCTGCAGTTGGTGGGTTCTTAATCCACAGTAGTCTAACTATAGGGATTTGGGGTTCTGTATGCTTTTTTTACTGGTTTCAGATAGGTCATCTCTCCAGAAACCTGACACAATGGAACTCACGCCAGAGACAGAATAAGAGAATTGGGAAGGGTTTGTTGTTTTTTTAATGCAGGGGAGATCTCATAGGTCAGTTTTCCCAACCTTGGGTAACCCAAATATTCTTGGACTGCAATTCCCAGAAACCATGGCCAGCACAGCTGCTGGTGAAGGTTTTTGGAACTGGCAGTCTAAGAACACTTGAGTTACCCAAGATTGAGAACTAAGTGTTACAGGTTATCAGATTCAGTCACTTTGGTGCAAGGCATCTTGCGCTTATAAATTCCCTAAGAAGGGCGGTCGAAGTTTTCACTTTATGACTTCTAACAGGTGAAAATCCACCACTAAGGATGTGCTATTCTAGTTTTCTTGTTTGTTTTTTGACAAATCCTTGAGGTTGCCTGCCAAATGGGAGTCCCACTTGACAGACAGACTCCCTCAGACACCTAAATGTGGCTTATCTGGTGAAAAAGACCTAAGTTGGAAGGCTTCATGGCCTATCCTGTGCCTCGGTCCTCCTAGCTTCAAAAAGGAAACTCCCAGAAAGCACAAGGCAACTTCCTTGTTTGAATAGGAAGCTAGGCCTGTGCTAGGCCAAGAAGCCTTCCAGCTTAGGCCTTTCACCCGGGTGAGCCATATTTAGGTCTGTGTCTGTCAAGTGGGGCTCCTAGAATGGAGAATTCTGGCATTTGTAGTCCGAACAAAAAAAAAAACCACACACACCAAATGGCACATCTCTACATTGGCTACATTGTTGAACTGCTCTTACTGGCAGGAAGATCACTAAACCCAGTGGATAATTTGGGTGCGGCAGCCCCTTGATGAGCTCTCAAGTGAATGGCGTGCTGCAAGAAGGACTGAGAACAGGCTGAAGGTTTTGGTGTACCAGTCCAGAGGCTCTGTCTCAGACTCCATCTCTTCCGACCAAGTGGGAAGCCTGAAGGCAGAGATGAGAATCCTGCCTCCTCATAGGGCTCCCAGTTTCCCATTCTGGACCTTGTTACCTAAAACTCAGCCTAAAAATGAACAGTTGCGTGTGCGCAACCCGAAGCCTCCAGAGAATGTGACTGACCATTTTAACACTGTTTTTCTGTTGTTTTTTTTTTGGGGGGGGGCTCTTTTAAAGGACTCAAATAACCTTTCTTTTTTCTTTTTCTTTTTCTTTTCTTTCTTTCTTTTTTTTTTTACAAAATGGGAAGTTTTCAGAGAAGGGGTGGGGACAGTCCTCAGAGGTATGGAAGACTGGAAAATGCATAGGGTAGCCGCCAACCCTTGTGTGTGGCTGTTCACATTAAAGAGGCAGGCCTTCAGTCTGAAACCTAGTATTCCTGTTTCTCCAAGAGTTCAAGCTGGGCATCTGCTGGCAGTGGTATACCAGCTTCTGGACTGTGCAGCTTTTAAGGATGATGCCTAAGAGTGGTTTTCTCATGAGAGCCTGTTGATGCTGGTCTGGGCTAAAAGGCTTGGCCACTTCCATCCTCTTGGGGTCAGGGGGGTCTCTGGTACCACAGAGGTGGTTACTCCCAGTTTCTTATCTATTGATACCTCTGGTTTCTCAGCTGTTAGGTCCATGTTGAAGTCATGGTTGGACTCTAGAGCCATGAGAGAGAAGTGGATAGATATCTGACCTAGCCGAAGGCAGATTCATTTGTATGAGCCGATGAGGTCCTCATTAATAGAGACAGTCAAAGTTTCCTCTGCAGATGTTGCTGCACCTCCTATAAGCCCAGGTCAACATAGGCAATGGTGCAAGGTAGTGGGAACAGCATCTGAAGGCCATGCTTTGTCCAGCTCTTCTCTATAACAAGAGGAGAGGTTTTCTGGCAGAAGACAGGCGTCCTGTCATGAATGACTCCACATTACATTCTGTTACACTCTGTAGTGTAGCTGAGTTTTGCCCGACATTTTGCAGGATGTCCGGAACCTACGTTTTGCCCATAGGCCTGAGGGGCGTACAAGAAGATCCATATTTGAGAACTTGACGAAATACGCGTTTCCAGTCTCAAATCATTTGGTAAGCTCTTCCTGTATGCTGTGATCCAAGACCCAGGGGACGGAATGTCCGCATTGTAAGTCAGGACTCAAAAGCCATCCGTCCTGTTAGGGGTTGAGGGCTATTTTAAAAACATGAATCAACATCTGAGAAGTGAAACACAAGCCTTGATCTGTTGTTGGGCTGTATCATTTCGTATTGCAAAGGGAGTTGGGGCTGCTGTTTAAATGCTTCTTTGCATAAAAATGTAGGTCAGACCTTTCCTTCACAGGCCAGGTTTTGGGGAAGAGAGTGAGGGGAACATTGTATATGTGGGACAGCAGTCAAACATTCAGTTTCTGCACTAGCAATTTTGAATGCTGCAGGCAAGCAACTCAAGCATACATAGCTTCCCTGCTCCTTGCTTACCCCAGAAACCTGAAGCATGGCGTGCCGATTTGGAAACATTAAGAGCTAAGTTTTGCAAGTGGTTCTCAACCCCTGTGTTTGGTAGAGTAACTTCCATATGACTCTGCCTGATAAATCTTCCTGCATGTACACTGTGCTGTCAGGAATTCTGCCGGCATTAGCCTCTCTGCAGAAGCCACCTTAAACTCCCTGTCTTCCTATCACTTCCTTCCCTTGGTGAGTTTGTAAGTAATAGCTGGGAGAACAAAAAGAATATAGGGAAACATACATTGACATGCTAATTACAGTGTACAGAGACAGTTTCTGAGTATCTCTCCTTTTTAAAATTATTTTTTTATGCACCAGTGTTAAAGAAACAAAAAGGCTACAGGGAAATTTCTTATATGAGATGTCAGATATAGTGTTATGCACTATGGGATGGTATACAAGTTAAATAAACAAGCAAGCAAGCTGAATGGTCTCTCTCTCTCTTTTTTTTTCTTTTAGTCTCTTTTTGCATTTGAATACAAAGAGGTTTTCCCAGAAAATAGCTGGAAGGTTTATGATCCTGTTCTGGAGTATAAAAGACAGGTGCGTATTTCTGTTCCACCTTTGATTTGCCCTTCTGTCCAAACAGCAAAATGAATCCTGCTTAATCACGGATTCTCCCTTCAGTGTCAGGAAATCTGTGCTCTGTAGATTAAATGAAAAACACTTCTTAAATATACCTTAGTTGCTTTCAGGATTGGGCTGGCCACTGGCCAGATTGCAAGAGTCCCCTCGGGGAGGGAGGGGCAGAGTGGTGGAGGCGACAACAGAGCCACCATTTAATCTCTGCTCTCTGAGCCACCTGCCATGACCACTAGCCTCTTTCTTATTGGCGCTACCCACTTCATGTTCTGAGTGCTCCTTAGCCAGCCATGCGATCAATGCCTTAGCCCCAAGAATTCTGGGAATGAGATATAATAGAGTATACAGATGATCTTTTCCTTCTCCTCCTCCCCATTCCCAGTGGGTTCCGAGGTGGGAGTGGGGATTTGGTATTTAACAGCACTTCTTTTCTGCCTGAGGCAGCTGGTGAGCTTGCATCGGCACCAGCAACGGTCATATTCCGTCTTTTTTCCAGTGAGCTCAATGTGGCATACAAGGCTCCCCTTGTCTTGCCTACTTCACCCCCCAAAACAATCCGTCTAGGTGGATCCAGCTATAGGAACCAAAATGGGTACTAGAATCTGGGTTTACCCAATTCACCACAACCACACTGGCTTCCTCTAGAGTTTGGGGTGGATTAATGATTTTGCTCAGTATAGCACAGATGGCCAATATCTGACATAAGAGCCACTAGTGATGTATTTATTGAGGGACATGGGACTCCTGGACAGGAAGAGGAGACTACACACTTTCTTGGTTCAAGAAATAAAGGGAAAACAATATAGGGCTCCCAGAGGTTTTCATACAGTGGTGTAGTGGTAAAGTTGGGAGTACAGTACAAATGCCCAGAATGACAGTCTGCATAGCTGCCCCCCCAGTGCATAAAGATGGTCCCAAAAAAGGCAAGCAGCTGGATTACTCCATCTCAACAAATGAAGAGCAGACCTTTTGCTAAACTGATTAATCTTAACTGCCTATACAATACCAAACCACACTCAGATATTTTGCATTATAGTAGGGATAATTTGCAACACATACTAAAGGCTAAAAGGAAGGTGACTCTTCCATTTAGCCTCCAATTTGAGAACCATGTTCTAACCAGCTACTCTTTCCAATCCAGGGGATTCCTAATGAAAGCTGGAGAATCACGAAGGTCAACGAACAGTATGAACTTTGTGATACGTATCCTGCCCTTCTTGTGGTTCCTGCCAATATTCCAGATGAGGAATTGAAGAGAGTGGCTGCCTTCCGATCAAGGAGTCGAATACCGGTAGGTTGGGCACAGTGAGGTCAATTTGATTTGGTTCTGTATGCATCTTTTTGAAAAGAAGGCCAAAAAGAGAGAACAACTTGAGGATTTTTTTTTTCAGAAAAGGCAGGAATTCTGTTATTTATTTATTTATTTATTTATTTATTTATCTATTTATTTATCTATTTATCTATTTATCTATTTATCTATTTATCTATTTATTTATGCCCCGCCGATCTGAGCGACACGCCCACTCTAGGCGGCTTACAATATAGAATAAAACAATAAAACACAGAAAAGTACATGATTGTTCAATAACAATTATAATAAAAAGGAGGGATAATAAATAAGGGAAAATAAGAAAGAGATCAAGTATTGACTGGAGGGAAGGCCTGGATGTATAACCAAGTTTTTAATTGGGTTTTAAAAATTCCCAGCGTAGGGGCCACGCGAATCTCTGGAGGGAGGTTGTTCCATAGGCGAGGAGCCACCACTGAGAAGGCCCGGTTTTGTGTTTTCTCCTTCCAGGCCTCTCTCGGCGTCAGGCTCCTCAGCCTCACCTCCTGACTCGCATGGGTGATCTGGGTAGACCTTGGTGGGAGCAGGCGTTCTGCCAAATATCGAGGTCCTAAACCGTTTAGGGCCTTATAAGTAAGCATTAAAACTTTGAAGTCGACGCGGAAACGAATGGGCAGCCAATGCAGTGCAGCCAGAATTGGAGAAATGTGTTGGTATTTTCTCACTCCAGTAAGGAGTCTGGCCGCCGCATTCTGCACCACCTGAAGTTTCCGCATCAGCCTCAAAGGCAGCCCCACGTAGAGCGCATTACAGTGGTCTAATCTTGAGATTACGAGCGCATGTACTAAGATAGTGAGCACCCCCGTGTCGAGGTAGAGTCGCAGCCGGGCAATCCACCAAAGGTGGAAAAAGGTGGTGCGGACTACTGACGCCACCTGCGTTTCCATGGTGAGCGTTGGGTCCAGGTGTATCCCCAGGCTGCGAACCCCAGTCTTCGCGGCCAGGGTCACCCCCCCCCAAACCTGAGGGAGTCACCCAAGCCGCCTACCACAGGGGCACCCACCCTCAGGACTTCCGTTTTCTACTGCTGTAGAGCAAGGGAGTGGAACCACAGCTGCTCAGGTCTAATGCAGCCCACTAGGGAATCCAGTCTGGCCCACATAAATTCCATGATGGCCACCTTTCCCCAAAGTCCTAGTGGGCTGTGCAGCAGGAAGGAGAAAAAGCTATGCCATGCACTTCCATGGCTTTGTTGCCCTTTCACATTCTTCACATAAGGAAAGTCAAGTGGCAGAATCTAGAGAGCATGGGGTGGAAATTGAATAAATACAGATTCCATCTGAGTGAGGAGAGAAACCTCCTGACCTCAAGTACTGTTGAACAGTGAGGTCAACTGTCTTAGGAGGCAATAGGGCCCCCTTTGCTACTTATATAAAGGAGGTTGGGCCCCTGTCATAGATGCCGTGGAACTTGTGTTGTGGATCCTGTATTGGTCAGCGGTAATACTACATGACCTTGAACTGGATGGAAATTAGCTGTATAATACTTTACTTTTTTACTTTTATTGAACTTATACCCCACCCCTCTAGACAAAGTCCACTCGGGGCAGCTTACATGAGTAATAAAACAGAATAAAATAACATACATAATAAAACCTAGTAAAAAGTGTGTATATACATATATACATTAGCAAGATGGGATAGTTAAGAAACACAAACAGAAAATAAGTTAATTGTATTAATACACATACAGTATATACTGTACACTATTGCACTGCAGCACAATGGAAACCATAAGTGTGGCGTTCACCCTCGTGTCCCTTTTGAACATACGAAGGCAAACAATCCCCTCTTTTACACTGCTGCCGCCAGGTGATCACTAAATCACCATTACTTCAGGAAGATAAAGATTCAGGTCCATACTTCAAAGTCTTTTAAATAGGACTTTTGTTTATTGATTAGAGAAATTGATGTTGATTCATGAATATCTTCTTTAGGTAAATTTATTATAATCAACAACCTTCTATCAGATAATACACTCCTAACTCTAATCACACCTCAATATTCCCCAAACTCCACACTCTTATCTCCCTTCTCTCACTTTACTCCAACTCCTCTCTCTATCTCCGGCTCCACATCTTATCGCATCTCCCTCGGCTCCGCCTCTCAGCAACATGAATATGCATGAACAATTAACATAACAAAACATGAACCCTTGACATATTAAAGGGGAACGCTACAATAAGCATAGGGGGGAAAACATCCTGTACCATCCTGAACTTACAAACCTATTGACCTGATCAGAGAAGACGTTTGCCCCACTGGGCATGAGACAACTTTAAGAGGGCATGTGTGGCTATTATCCTCCATTGTTCCCTGCCAGGTTCAATTTATGGATATATTTTTGATTGCCCAAGTCAAGTAGTAGCCCTTCTTCTATGAGAAAGAGGAGTGCATCGTTGGTGTAGTATCTGGCCTCATGGACGATGACCAGGTGGACTCAGAGGGTCTTTCCTATCAACCATCAACACAATAAGTTTTCTGTGCATGAGTGGCTGTCTGTTTTTATTAGGACTCAGAAAATGTAAATGTATGAGGTTCTGGTTGGCCCATAGCTTCCAGTTAGCACAGACTCGCACAGTCTGTCCATCTCTGTGATATTATATTGAACGCAAGAAAGGGCCAGAGGCCAGGTGAAATTCCCGTGAGCAGTTTAGTTTCACCTACCCCATTGTTCCAGGATCATTCCGTAAAACAGAATGGGAAAGAATCTTATACACACCTCTTGTTACCTTGAAGAAAGAACAGGATAAAAATGAACTAGGAGAGGGTGAAAATTAAAAATTCATTTACTGTCCAAATTAACCGGTGGCAGTAAAAAAATAAAAAGGCAAGAGTTTTGTAACACCTTAAAGATTAATGTATAATGGTGTACACATGTAGGAAATCCTGAACATCAGAAAAGACTTCTTACCTGTTAGAGCAGTACAACAATGGAATCAATTACCTCGGGAAGTAGTGAGTGCTGCAACACTGGAAGCATTCAAAAGAAAATTGGACAGCCATCTCTCAGATATGCTTTGGTTTGGATTCCTGCATTGAGTAGGGTGCATTGACTTGATGGCCTTATAGGCCCTTTCCAGCTGAATGATTTGAGATTCTGTTAAAAGGAATTGTTAAAACAGACTTTAGTCCTTTAAAACCTATGCTATTTCCAAATTGTTTAAATTTGGGGGGCAGGGGGAGGACAGTGTTAGCCATGTTAGTCTATTACACCAAAACTAACAAGCGGTCTTGTTCCAATGTAAAGACTAATAGACTTTATCCAGTGTACACTTCCATGGACTGCAACCTACTCCATGAGAAGCACTGATGTTACTTCAGTTGGCTAATACGTGCCAGGTTGAGAAGGAACTGTGGGGCAAAAAGAAACACAAAAGGGACAAACATTGACAATTCTATTAATGCAGTAACATACAGTTGTTAGAAGGTGCATTTTATCAGCGATAAGCAGATTAACATGTGGGTGGTGATAAAAATGTCTTTGTCTAATCCAAGCCTTAAAAAGAGAGAATTTAATCTCTAAGTGAGCTCTACTAGGGTGGGGTGGGGTGGGGAGATGGTAAACAGAAGGCTAGAAATTTAGAAATTACAGGCAGTGAGAATTGCATAAACACGGGTCATGTAACAAACAAAAGCATGTAGGTGTCATAGACATCTCTGTGTAGATGAATCCTTTAGCACATGTAATGAGATAAAAGCCTTTTTTCCCAATCAAACCCCAGGAGATGGAGTTGACCCTCTTGTTGAATTCTTATGGAGATGTTTCCCACTAGAGTCTGTCTTTGAAGTATTGTTTCTTCCCGGATAGCCACCTTGAGTGCGATAGGAGATAGTACTGTATTTGTATTCAGGCATTATTAGCCACCTTGAGTGCGATAGGAGATAGTATTTCTATTCAGGCATTACGCTGAACACAGGTAGAAGGCTATACAGTGGTGCCTCGCTTAGCAATGTTAATTCGTGCAGAAAAAATCGCTGCTAAGCGATAACATCGCGAAGCGAAAATAAAAAGCCCACAGAAAAGCATTAAAATGCACCCATAGAAAAGCATTAAAATGTGATTAATACATTCCTATGGGCTAAAAACGCACCTTTAAGCGAAGATCCTCCATAGGAGCGGCCTTTTTCGGTGCCTCTTAAGCGAGGAAACACAGTGGGAGGCCATTTTGTTTACCCGGCGGCCATTTTGAAACCGCCAATCAGCTGGCCGAAAATGAAGGCTTTGTGATGATCGCTTCCCTGCGATCATCGCAAAGTGAAATTTCCCCATAGGGACCATCGCAAAGCGATCGCTTTTGCAATGGCAAAAAGTCCATCGCAAAGCGATTTCATCGCTATACGGAGCGATCGCTATGCGAAGCACCACTGTATGTCCTGGCCGATGGGGCTGTATTCATAAGCCCTACTTCCTCCCATCCCCCCCCCCAATCCGGAAGTCAGTTAGATCATAACATTATTGCGCTACTTTTGAAGTGTTCTTTTTGTTTATTTGTTTCACTTTGTTTTGTTTCTAATACTCTTTCCTTCTGCAAGGTCTTGTCATGGATTCATCCAGAAAGCCAAGCCACCATTACTCGCTGCAGCCAACCAATGGTTGGAGTGAGCGGCAAACGGAGCAAAGAGGATGAGAAATACTTGCAGACGATCATGGACTCCAATGCACAGTCCCACAAAATATTCATCTTTGATGCCAGACCAAGTGTCAATGCTGTAGCCAACAAGGTGGGATGATTAGAGCTCTCAAAACCTCTAGCAATTCAACAGTGTTGAGGAAGTTGACTTGTATCGATAAAAATACTAATGTATATTACAAAGTGATTCATCATGCTCTATAATTTTCTAGAATCCTGCTAGTGTTTGCAGAAGATTTGTGTAACTTCTATTACAAGTTTGTGTAACTGATGTAGCTAATTGTGGCTAATTCATGAGGTGACAGTGCATATCTCAGTTTCACAATGGGGCCTATGTCTTAATGATAATGGATTCTGTGATGTCAAGGTGAATCCAATTTACACCTACCCTTGCCAGGGTTTCCTGGGTATAATGTGTTCAGAAGTATGCAGTTCTCTTCTTCTGGAGATAGTCTAGGAATGTGCAGCTTGCCCAAAGCTACACAGGATAGTTTTTCTCCCAAGAGACATAATAGGGGTTGAACCCCCAGTACCTGGTTCTTTGTTTGGATTCACTCAACTATGGGATGGCTTACAAAATGAATAATAATTTGCTATAAATACAATAATGATAAATAGCAAAATTAAATAACATCAAGATAAAACAATACAAAAGAGTAACGTTTTTTCTTCAAAGAAGATTTTTTTAAATGGTACAGTGTTTCTCCGAAAATAAGACAGGGTCTTATACAGTATTAATTTTTGCTCCAAAAAACACAGTAGGGCTTATTTTCAGGGGATTTTTTTTCATGTACAACAATCTAGAATTTATTCAAATACAGACATGTTATCTTCTGGTTGCTGCACAAGGGTGGAGGTCGGGGTTTCACTTAACTAGGGCTTATTTTGGGGATAGGGCTTATATGACGAGCATCCTGAAAAAAATCATACTAGGGCTTATTTTCAGGGAAACAGGGTAGAGTTTCATAGCTTGAAAAATAACGTTTAGAGCACCTTCCCTAGAATGTCCTTGCCAACATGGCTACTCAGAGTCCTGGGAGTTGTGATTCAAAAGCTAACTTTCCCAAGCTCCGGTTTTTCTTTGAAAAAAATGGGAGATGATTTCAGAGAGCTTGTTTCATAACTTCAGAGAAACCACAGAAAAGACCCTGCTACTCTCTGCGGTTGATCTAAGCCTGTTAAATACAAGATCCAAAAAAAGGCCTTTCCAGGACAATCTTAACATACATAGTGGAAGATTTTATAGTATGGAGACAAGCAACGTGCATCTCTTCAGGTATGGTTGGGTGCAACTCGCATCTTCCTTCCACTACTGGTGGTGCTGACTAGGGCTGCTGAGAGTTGAAGTCCAACCACATATTGAAAGAGTCCACCTCTAATACAGGGTAAAGCACTCCCTTCAGCTTGTAGGTTTACCGGTATTAGCTATCTCCCCCACCCCACCCCAAGAAAAATCCAACATGCATTTTCTTTGGCAGGCTAAAGGAGGAGGCTATGAAAGTGAGGACGCCTATCAGAATACAGAGCTTGTCTTCCTAGATATCCATAATATCCATGTTATGAGAGAGTCCTTGAGAAAACTAAAGGAGATTGTATATCCCAACATAGAAGAGACTCATTGGCTGTCTAATTTGGAATCAACTCATTGGTTAGAACATATCAAGGTAGGTTTGTGTGCATGTGTTTGTGTTCAAATGATATGCATATTTAGATATTCTGTTATCATATGATTTCAGCCACCGCCATAGCAGATCCTACAGCCATAAAGACTTCTACCCATTGCTGGGAGTACATTGCTGGTACGGTTGCTTATAATGGGTGAAAGGTTAACAGTTCTGGGAGTCTTCATTGCAATGTTCCCTGAAGGTTTGTGTAGTCCCAGCTATAACACACCAGCCAGAATCCAACTGGTGGTATACTCCAGCACAAGTGCAAGTCAAGGCAACAAATTGCCACTAATTGACAAAGTGCTAGTTGCTTTCCTGGGCACTAATCCAGTGGCACAATCAGTTACATACCCAATAAATGCAATCAACACCTTTTTAATTTGCAGCAGTTTGTTGCTGTGACTTATGCCATTTTTCTTATGCAATCCCAAATTGCCAGTTGAATTCTGGCTGTAATCTAAAAGGGAATTCAAGCTGATGTGCCTTAAGTATCTATATATGAACGTAGTTGGAAGAGGATGTAAAACTGAGAGACACATTGAATCCTGAATGAGTCAAAATCAAAGTATACTGAAACCAATGGAACAAGTTAGTCATGATTTCAATACCCCTACTGTTAGGATGGCTACATTTGTATTCAACCTACTACATAATAGCATAACCTAAAAAACACAGAATGCAAGGGAACCTGTGTTTGTCATAAGGCAATAAAGATGTGGTAATATCTTTACTAGGACAAGTAAAATAGCACAAAAATCTCAATGCAAGCATTAAATCTTAGCGCAAGCATTAATTCTACAGTGTTGGCAAGTTTTTACATCTTAAGAAGGTATGCAGATTACAGTGCTGTAACATGGAGCCCCCCACCTTATTAAAATAGTGCTTAATCAAGAGAGCATGCAGAGATTTTTGTACCTTTATAATTGATCTAATAAAGTATGCACAATTTTAAAGCACATCCAACCATCCCTTGTGAAATACACTCTTCTCTTTGATCTAAACAAGCCTTCCTTCCATCATCAACTCCTTCCCTCCCTCCTTCCCCCATCCCTCCTTCCTTCCTTCCTTCCTTCCTTCCCTCCATCCTCCCTTCCTCAACTCCTTCTTTCCTTCCTTCACCAATTCCTTCATTCCTTCTGTTTAATCATCTTGGCAAAACTCAAAGGCCTTGTTCCTTTCCTTAATTATAAAAGTAAATCCTCCATTGACATCCATGAAGCCATTCACTGTCCGTAGCAAATATCATAGTCACACAATGCCCCCTCTTTTATCCCAGCTGATTCTTGCAGGTGCTCTTCGGATAGCTGACAAGGTGGAATCTGGGAAAACCTCTGTGGTTGTGCATTGCAGTGATGGTTGGGACCGAACAGCCCAGCTCACGTCTCTTGCTATGCTCATGCTGGACGGCTACTATCGGACCATACGAGGGTTTGAAGTGCTGGTGGAGAAGGAATGGCTGAGTTTTGGGCACAGATTCCAGCTGGTGAGTTGGTAACAGTGACAGAAATGACAGCATTTCAGAAGCATTGTTGTGAAATGGTTTAAGGCAGCCATTGAAGGCTCAGTGGCTTAGGATCTGGAGGCAGAACCAAAGATTGGGAGTTGGATTCTCCACTATGCCCCCTTGACAAGGGACTGGACTTAATGATCCATAGGGTCTCTTCCAGCTCTGCAGTTCTGAGATTATATTATTATATTATATTATATTGCAAAATTATATCAAAGAAAGAAACTAGACTTGAAGTTACTGGTAGATTTCTGGATCACCAACAGTAGATCAGCAAGAGTCTCTCACATTTACACTCAGTGTGTGGCTGCCGATGGAAGGTGTCAGGAAACTTCAGTGGGTCCAAAATGTAGCAGCCAGATTGCTAATGGACTGGTTAAAGGGGTCCAAAATGCAGCAGCCAGATTGCTAATGGTTAAAGAGATCACATAACCACACTTAAGCAGCTCCACTGGATACCGATCCATTTCCCGGCACAATTCAGACTGCTGGTTTTAACTTATAAAGCCCTAAAAGGATTGGACGCAAGCTGTCTCAAGCTATCTCCCATTATGGAGCCTGCTTGGGTGTTGAAACAACCAGGAGAGGCCTTTCTCAAAGCCCCATCACCTTCACAGGTGTGTTTCATAAGAACCGAAGAAGAGCCCTGCTGGATCAGGCGAAGGGCCCATCTAGTCGAGCTTCTCACAGTGTCCCCACCAGATGCCTCTGGGAGCACACCAGACAACAAGACGCCTGTCTCCCGATACCCCTCCCCTGCATCTGGCATTTGAAGGCACCTTCCTTCTAAGCCTGGAGATTGTACATCCCTCATCATGGCTTGTAACCTCCAGGAATCTGTCCAATCCCCTTTTAAGGGCATGTAGGCCAGATGCCATCGCCACATCCTGTGGCAAGGAGTTCCACAGACTAAACAACACGCGGGGTAAAGAAATATTTTCTTTTCTCCTGGGGACTCAGGAGAAGGCCTTCTCTGTTGCTGCTCCCAGACCTTGAAACTCCACAGGAAGCCAGGCTGGTCCCATCTTTGCTGTCCTTCCACAAGCAGGCAAAGACTGTTCTCCAGGCAAGCTTTCCCTCAGTGGCTGCCTGAGTGGGATTTTCAGATGGATTGTTATGGATTACTGGTTTTACCATGTTTTTAGTATTGCTTGTGTTGACCATTTCTCAGTGTTTTTGTTGTTGTTGCTGTTCCTTATTATTTAGATACTTATTGTTTTAGCTAAGTAGACCTTTGGTCTAGATGGGTGGGATAGAAATCCAATAAATAAATAAATACTGTTGTTTAATGATGTAAGCTGCTTTTTTATGCTCCTTGTTTTAGCTTTAAATATTATCTTTCAATAATGTAACTCACCTTGGGTCCTTTTTAAGGAGAAAGGTGGGGTAAAATAGTTTAAAATAAATAAAATATAATTTCTAACAGCAATCACTAAAAATTTCATAAAGTAAAGGTTCCCCTTGACAATTTGTCCAGTCGTGTCCAACTTTAGGTAGCAGTGCTCATCTCCGTTTCCAACCCATAGAGTTAGCATTTGTCCGCAGACAATCCTCCATGGTCACGTGGCCAGTGCGACTAGACATGGAACACCATTTATCTTCCCACCAAGGTGGTACCTATTTATCTACTCGCATTTTTGCATTTTTCATGCTTTCGAACTACTAGGTTGGTGGGAGCTGGGACAAGCGAGGGGGGCTAACTCCATCGTGTGGATTCGATCTTACAACTGCTGGTCTTCTGACCTTGCAGCACAGAGGCTTCAGCAGTTTAACCTGCAGCGCCACCACATCCCTCTAAAAAACCCGTATTCCCCCTTAATTGAGTTGCTGAGGAAAAAAGAGTTTGGGTAGGGGGAGAAAGCGGGTTTTTGTGTGAAAGGATTAGTGATTTTGCTTTTCAGTATTAATTTTTAAAAAATGCCCAGGCTGAGTGAAGGCTCAGAAGACTTGTGTTGTTAACTTATAGTTAACTGCTATTATTATTCATATTTATATCCCTCCTTTCTCCAGAGAGTTCAAAGCAGTGTACATATGTCTCTTCCTCACCCTTTTATCCTTACAGCAACATCTGGAGAGGTGTACTTAGCAACCTCCAATCTAATGTAATCTGTATAATTTCTTCTGTCTCAAGCATATAGGGTGCCTTCTAGATCTAAAGTGTCATCAGCGTGATTCGTGGTGTGGAAGAATAGGGATTGTAGTCAAAAACAGCTGAAAAAAAACAGCCAGTTTACCTACTTTTGACATATACTGGCTTTTACCAATGATTTTTTCCCACCTTTCGCTTTTTTCCTGCTTTCCTTCAGAGAGTAGGCCATGGTGACAAGAATCATGCCGATGCAGACCGCTCTCCTGTTTTTCTCCAGTTCGTTGACTGTGTCTGGCAGATGACAAGACAGGTACTTCTCTGGGCTTATATAAAGACAAGAATCTTGGGAATGTTGACCCTCGCCTTTTGTCTTGCTTTTCAGCAAATGTAGATTGAATCTGTCATTTCTTCTGTGTGTTGCTAGTTAAGGATATAACAAATATTTGCAAATTTTCTCATCTTTGATGAAGAAACATGTCTTGAGACACCAAAACCTCCCTCCAGTGAAAGCACGGCCACCTGCTGCCTAAGAGCAAAAAGATCACCATTTTTTTTCCTCAGCATTAGGGAGGGGAAAAGCAAAATAGTCAATTCCCTCCAAAAACTGTTCTACTTGCACAATTCACCCTTTGCGTGAAAGAAAAAAAATCCACCAATTTTCTGCCAAAAAAGTGCTTAAACTCTAAAAATGTACAAAAAGTCTTGTAATCACACCCAACAGGGAGAAAACGTTTGAAAATTTTCATTCTCATGTGGGAACAGGAAATGAAAATTGAGATCCATAGCCTAGCAGTGAAAAAGGCCTGTAAGTTGCAAATTTGTGCATATTTCCTTTAAAATAATGTCTCACAAAACTCAGTGGACTGGCTTGTGTAAACTGTGCTGTCTTGTCAGGGCGTTTTTTTGGGAGATTGCCTGACTTCTAGTGTCAACTGTTAACAGGCAGAATTTGGAAAAGTGTTTTGGGTGTCTTGAATGACAGCTTTCAAAATCCCCCAGGGTGGGACTGTCATCTTAAAAAGCAACTTTCCAAATTTCTTGTAACAGGACAGAGAAGAACAGCATCATAAGAAAACGCTGTAGGCATGTCTAGACACCCAGTGTGTTATAGTGGACAGAGTGATGGGCGAGGCCTCAGGAGACCTGGATTTCAACTTGACAGTGTACACACATTGAAACATTCAGGGTTTTCTGTGACCCGTGCTTCCACAATCAAGATGTTCACCATAAAGCAATGTGCTCTACCCCTGAGCCAGAACCTTTCATAAAGATATATACAGTGATGTATCAGCCATTCACCTTTGGCACACACTCCGCATTCTTTACTGAATATGTAAAGCCGTCATTTCTTGCTTTTGGAAAGCAGCAATATGGCTTCATAAAAGAGGTTTGCCAGACAGTAACACAAACAAATTCTTCACTAGGACTGTTTCTCCCCTTGTTCCCAACCCAAACACTTTCTCCCACTCCCCCACGTCTACCTCCTTTAAACTCTTTGCAAGAATACGTTTTCATGTACCGTGCAAGAAACATCCAGTGAAAATAAACTAATTGCATTGCTTGTCTTTTGAAGTTTCCCACAGCCTTTGAATTCAACGAGTGCTTTCTGATCACAGTTCTGGACCACCTCTACAGCTGTCTGTTTGGGACATTCCTGTGTAATAGTGAGCAGCAGAGGGTGAAGGAGGTAAAAACCCAGATGACCCCTTTTTAAAAAAAAAAAAAAAACTTTTTTCTTCCCCATTTCTACCAGCTGTTTCTTTGTTGCTCCTTTTTTGGATAGGTTAAAAGATCTAACTGTATGCTCCGTTGATTTACCTAATTGCAGTGTGGGAAAAGGTTACTATTTTAGATGGCATATTTGAGGACCTGGAAAGAAGAATGACTGAAGCTGTAGTCCAAAAAATAACTTTTGCAGGATCTGCTTTCTCCATCTAGAGCTGTTCTACCAAAGCATGGTGTTCAGTTCATGAAATGGTACAAAAGAAAGAGAGAAGCAGAGAGAGCGAGGAGTGTCAAATAATTAAGTCAATTATTTATTTAATTTAAAATATTTATGTATTACTCTTCATTAGGCAGTACACAACATTAATTAAAACAATAAGTAAACTGAAATTACTGTGCGTTGCTGGTGTCATCAAGACCGTGCCAATCGCGGCAGTCCAGAAGCACCCCCACCTCCCTGTTCGCCCAGCCACTCCACAGCTGAGCAGGGAAATTCATCCTCCCGCCCCCTTGCCAGAGTGGCTGGGCAAGCAGGGAGGCAGGGCTGCAGCAGGCAGGCTACTGCTGCCATTGGTGCAGTGACAATGACACTGGCGACGTGCACTACACGGTAAGTGGTCCAGTGGGGTTTGAGGGTGGAAAATAATCAGGAGGGCCACCTGTGCTATGGGGCTTAGTATTTGTATATGAATATACCCATCTCTATTCTCACTTTTTCTTATGGATGTGGACGAGGAAAATGGCTCTGCAGAGATTGGTGAACTGCAACTCCCATTATTCCTAAAATAGGTTGTGTAGACTCACACTAATGGGATTTGTATTCCACCACTATATGAAGAACCACCCTTTCCCTATCCCTCTTCTGGAAGGTTACTGGGAACTACATTCCACAGTACAGTGGTGCCTCGCTTAGCGATCGCTCTGTTTAGCAAAGAAATCGCTTAGCGATGAATTTTTTCAATCGCAAAAGCGATCGCCCCTATGGGGTATTTTCGCTTTGCGATGATCACAGGGAAGTGATCATTGCAAAGCAACCCTTTTTGCACAGCTGATCGGCAGTTTCAAAATGGCCACCGGGGAAAAAACATGGCCGCCCACTGTTTTTTGGGACAGATTCTTTACTTTAGAGGCACCAGAAATGGCGGCGCTATGGAGGATCTTCGCTCAACAGTGAGTTTTAAGCCCATAGGAACGCATTAATCGCGTTTTAATGCGTTTCTGTGGGCTTTTTTATTTCGCTTAGTGATGTTTTCATTTAGCAGCGATTTTTTCAGAACGAATTAACATCGCTAAGCGAGGCACCACTGTATTGCACTACAGCCATTAATGGTAATTTGATGTGCCATAATTTAAAAACTATTTTTTGTTTTGTTTTGTTCTTCCTCTTTGAATTTGAAGGGTCTTCCAAAAAAGACAGTGTCACTCTGGTCCTACATAAATAGCCAGCTCGAAGACTTCACCAACCCCCTGTATGCCAGCTACACCAACCATGTTCTGTATCCTGTAGCCAGCATGCGCCATCTAGAGCTGTGGGTCGGGTACTACATCCGGTGGAACCCACGGATGAAACCACAGGTGAGCTGGGTGATGGGGAGGAGAAATGAATGTGGACTTGGTTATTTAAGAGCCAAACACCCAAAGCCTGCTTCTTAAAATTAAAAAAAAATCATCCCAGGTATGAAGAAATATGCAAAAATTGTTTTAAAAAAACCTTTCCAATTTGTTTGAAGGCAACTGTGTTAATAACAACTATGTGCCATCAAGTCAATTTTGACTTATGGTGACCCTTTCCAGGGTTTCTTAGGTAGAGAATACATAAAAGGGGTGTACTGTTCAACTTCTGGGGTCATCCTGGGACTGTGCAGCTTGCCCAAGGCCATACAGGAAGACAATGGGGGAATCGACCTCCCAACTTCTGGCTGCACAGCCAGATGCCTGAACCATTGAACTATTCAGCCACCTTAATATCTGTATTATATGTTGTGGTGTGTGTTTGTATATGTTAGATATATGTAACCCTCCTTGTAATGACCGTGCTCTCATCTTTGTTACTATTTCAGTGTTTAAAGTCAAGAGTAGGCAACCATGATTGGCTCTAAGGTGCAGATTTCCTCCCCCCCCCCAGCATGAGATGTGCATCTCTGGCGAGCTGCTGTGTTGGCCACCCTATGCTTAGGCTGAGTTTTGGAACTGAAAATAGGTTCTGGTGCTGATCCATTGCTCAAATGAACCTTCCTCCTGTAATGATACGGTTTTCCTCTGGATGCTGACTACAGTGGGTCTTTTTTAACTTTTAGGAGCCGGTGCATAACCGTTACAAGGAACTTCTGGTGAAACGAGCTGAGCTTCAAAAGAAAGTTGATGAACTACAGCGAGAAATTGCCAACCGCTCCACTTCGTCCTCTGAAAGAGCTGGCTCTCCTGCACAATGTGTAACTCCAGTCCAGACGGTTGTATAACGCAGTGTGTCCTGCCTCCAGAACCTTGCTGTAAGGCAGCTTTTCTAGAAAAGAAGGCTTACAAGAGAAATTTCTGAACTTAGAAGGCAGACCTCTGGAGTCTTAAACACTCTATTTATTGAACAGCCACCCTCCGGGTTATTTTGCTAGGGCTGTAACACTACAGGAAACAAATGCTTATTTATTTAATTTTTTTTTAAATGGCTTCTCATATAATTAAACTTCTTGAGGGCTAATTACAACAAAACTAGCTATGTAGCCTTCCAAAACAAAAGGAGAACATTTTTTAAAGTTGCACTCAAGAGCTTAACCAGCTGTTTTTGCTTTGGACTCCTGCTCACACTGGAATCATACAAACAGGAAAGCAAGTGGCCAGAATTGGGGGAACTCTAGATGTGTGGGGCAAGGCTTTGCGTCAACAATCTGCTCCCCCAAATTCAGATGAATGCTGTGGGTTGTGGCACAATATAAAAGACCTGTGTCATAGGTCTTTTATTTCTTCCTTAGAAATCCCAGTGCATGAGTTCTTGTGTATACTTAGAATCTCTGGCCATTGTCAACGAAGGGCTTTTGTGTCTTGTCTCCCATAATGCAGAGCTGGTGAAGAGGCTGCCCCCCAGCTGTTGTTCAACTCAATCTGCTAGTGATGATGGAAACTTGAGTCCACTATCATCTTGCAGGGCCACCTGTTCCCCATTTCTGCCATTGTGGAAGAGAACAGCTTCTGAGCAGAGGCAATCCAGTAACCTGAATCTTGCCATGTTCAGTCGCTAGTGGAAGGGGCGGATAGACCTCTAGTGTTTATATAGATTCCACTAGCAAAAATGGCAACTTTCTGTATGCTGTACATGTGTCATCTTTGTGTGAGTATGAAGGAAACGCAGCAGGGATACACTCTGCATGAAGAGGATCTTCTCTGCCATGACGAACCAACGTGGGCAGCTGGTAGCTAGCCTGGCCAATCTGAGACCCAACAGCATCAGCTTGCAAGCATTCACTCAGCTGGGATTTAACAGCAGAAAACTAAACACTTTCCAGACTTTAAACGTCTGTGTCTTAAACTAAAAGCTGACCTCCTGCCTTTTTGTTTAAAAACATGCCCAACCAAGAGAGAATGTTCCCATCTTAATAGGTCCAGTTACTTTTTGCCAGGGATGACCCAAACTGTCCTGCTGTCTGAACTGAAAGGAAGAGGAACCCTGTCACTTTTCCCACTTTCCTGCCCTTCTGCTTCCCAGCTGTGTAAAAAAAAAAAAATTAGTGGCAACCTGGCTAGTTTTCCTTCCTTACATAGGAGTGAGCAGGAGAGAGGTCATGTGAGGACAGACACAGAGGTGACAACGGGTGGGTGGGACAGGACATGAGGCAACTTCAGCTGGAACTTTCCGGAAAGGGAGAACTGTGCAAATGCTCATTGGAAGTGTTCTACAGCTGAAGGGAGGCCTCCTCGCTCTGCCCAACAGTAGGGCTGGCCCTGCTATTTGCTAGCAATTCATTGTAAAATAGTTAACCTTTTTGTTGTTGTTGTTGTTAATGCAATGCCTTATTTTAATTGGGGTGGGAGAAGTGTTATTGAACATGTTATTGAATGTTATTGAGTGTTATTGAACATGTATTCAGCAGGCATTCTATATTATACCTATTTCTCACTTTCTTTGAGATAAGGCACTCTCCCTCCTCTGCCTTCTTATACAGAGGGCCTTCAAAATAAATTAGACAGTGCCTCCTCTCATTGCCAACCATTAGCCATGGCGAGTTGCAGTCCAAAAAATTGTCCGGAAGGCACCATCTCAGGGTAGACGCTTCAGCCTGATAACTTTAATCACAGCAACTGTCTGTCACTAGAACACTAATAATCATGCAGGCTGCCGCCTATGTACTTTGCCTCCGATCCTTTCCTAGCCATTTGGCTTTCTTTCATTTTCCAGCTATTCTTGGTGAATAATAAGTGCTACAAAGCTGGCACAGAAGGGAAACTCTGTTCTTTTGTGACACTGAAAGGGGGTCAATGATTTAATTTTGAAAAGGCTGCCCTCTAGACCCCAATTAGAAGAGCAGCTTTAAATAAGTTAACTTTTCTACACTGGGTATGTCAAAATATTATGGCTGCGTTGTGAAGTTGTGGCAGGTGATTGGTGTTAACTTTGCTTTCTGACAGCCTGGTATCTATTGTTTGGTGGCTCTATCGTGTTGTGGCAGTGAGCTGAAAAGAGTATATTGTGTCTTGGAGAGTCAGGGGAAGTTGCTGCCCTCCTGTGCTCCCATCAGTGTACAGACGTGGGTCTCCGCAAAGACATGCTCAGGATACTAAATCTACACATCATGAAGTTCCATCTGCCATACTAAAGAAGCCAATATAGTTTTTGGTAAGCAAGTGAAGAGGGAACACAACACCACTGCTTATGACTGCTGGAAAAGCACAGCAAACCATTCCCAAGCAAATTCATCGCTCCAGTCTGATACAGTGTGTCTGTAGATAGCTATGCAGGTAAACCAAACAGATATTTCCTGAAAGCTATAACATCTTTCCTACAACTAAAAGAAACCAGAGGTCACATGAGATCAGCCTGTCTTTTCCATCACATGTTCTCAAGCCGACTAGAGTGGTCGTATAGACCAGATGGGCGGGATACAAATCAAATAAACAAGTACCCCCAATAAATAAGCACCCCCCCCTTTTCCCTTTAAAATAAAGTGACTGGTTCCCATTTAATCAGGGATCAAGGAGATAATTAGGGACACCATGGATGTGAGTCCCATTCCAAGGTCAGCACAGTCCCACCCAGAGTGTCCTCCTGACCTCTAGTGCAGCAGGATGCAGCCTGCAGTTCCATTTCCCCACATCTTCCATAGGCCATGCTATTAATAATTGAGTAGCCATGAGGATTTTAGGCAATGTGGCCTTTTTTTTCTCAACTCCAAATGAAGGTGAATTCAACTCTAATCATCATCATGTGCCGTAGAGTCACTTCTGACTTATGGTGACCATTTTCACAATTTCCAGGTAAAGAATGCTCAGAAGTGGCTTCCCATTCCCTTTTCTGGGATGTCCCTACAGCCCTATGGGAGGTTGATCTTGGAGATAAGGGATATAACACCATTTGTTTCTGACTTGCTTCTAACTACTTATTTCTAGCTGGCTGATACTTCATGTTCGAAACCAGTGTTTTTTGCCTTTCCCAGGAGACTGCAAAAGTATGGTATGGATGGGGATGTGTTCTCCTAGCTGTTGGTTTTCTTCACAGTTTAGCAATTGGGAAAGCTGGCTGGTGGGGTATGGCAGTTGTAATTTTTTTTAAAAAATCCTTGTTTTTCCAAACTCTGCATCCTGGATTGAACTGGGATACACGACAAGGCTCTTTGTGCTAGTAGGAGAGAAGAGATATGGTGGAGCAAACTAAGTGATCTCCAGGACATGAGGCTAGAGCGGAGTCAAGGAAAGCTTTCTTGAAGACTTTAGCCATTGTGACTCTGTTTTGTTTTAGCTGCATCGTCTAAAGCTTTTGTGCAAAAACTGGACTCCATTTCCTCCAAAATTTTGAAGCATCTCGTGCAAGGCGGAAACCTTCAAAAATGAGTTTGCAAGAGACACTCTTGACTTTAACCTTAGAACTGCAAGAGCCGGAAGGGACCCTATGGATCACGGAGTCCAGCCTCTATCAAGGAGGTACAAGTGGGGAATTGAGCGCCCAACCTCTGGCTCCACACCTAGATGCCTAAAACACCGAGTGGTTCTCAGATTTTATGCAATGCAATGTTTATGAATGTTCCTTCTTGTTATCCACAGCATCTGTTTTGTATTCTTTGGAAGCAAAGCGCACAGTTATTTCTTTGTGAAATTGTGGTGGTGAATGTGAGCTTGGATGCACCAGGACATCCCTTTTAAGCTTGGCCTATAGGTCCAGCAGAATCAGAGGATAAGAGGGGGACCAGCCCACTTCAGAATGCAGGCACAAGGCTATGTTTAAAACGAGTATTATAAAAAGCTCTGCAAATAAAAAAAAAAAGGAAAACATGCAGCCAAATACAAACAAGCCTCCTAACAAAGCCTAGCACAAGCTGTAGTCCCAGTTTTCTAAAAGTTAACTGCTTTTTATGCAGGCCTTGAAAAAAATGTCATTGCTTCTTGCACTCTGAAGTAGCATAATTAATTCAGTTGAACATGGGCCATCCTGTTGAGGGTAAACCCAAATTTATTTTGCAAGGCCTTTGAATATTCCAACTGCTTGTCCTGAATAATGTTTTTTCTGTCAGTTATTGGGTTTTTATTGAGTATGGACCATCTTTTATCTCAAATGAATATAAAGTAAAAAGTCAATACCAAAAACATTCCCTCTCACTATCTTGTCCTTGTTTCACTAGTCTTCTGAAATCAAGGGAATTCTGAACATAAAACAACATGTTGACATGGACAAATGGTTCAAAGAATGTAACCCAAGCACCATACACTTACACCTCTTGAGTTTTATATAATGGTAAAACTCTAATCTCTTTTTAAACAACATTTATTACCTCTATATCTCAGTCTTACATGATCCCTCTAATGGTTTCCTGTTCAAGAAACCAAATGAGTGTAGATAACGGAGTCAGACCTTCCCAAGACATTCAGTGCCAGAGAAGATACCATATTTTTCCGTATATAAGACTATACTTTTGTCTAAAATCTTTAGACTAAAAATTGAGGGTCGTCTTATACATGGAAGTGAGCTGAGGAGAGAACAAAAACAAGTGGAGGGGAAAGCAGGGATGAAAGCAATCCTGCAGCGCTTTGATCCCTTTCCCCCTACACTTGCTAAGCCCTACTTAGATTTCTTCATTTTGGATTAGAAAAGTGGGGGGGGGGGTTCTCATACATGGGGGCGGCTTATACATGGAAAAATACGGTAATCTTTTCAAAGAAATATTCATTTGATGTTACAACTAAGCACTAATCACTTCTTTCCACCACAGATGTCTGCCAACATAGTCATATTCTGTGTCTTAGCAGCTCCACTGGTAAGGAAACAAAATGGAGGAACATGAGGCTCCCTCTGAAGAGGGTTTGGAAACTTCAACTGGTGTAAAATATTGTAGCCAGACTGTTGACTGATGCAGGTGGTTACCGTGATCATGTGACCACTCCCACGACAACAGCTGCCAATTTGATTCTGGTCCTTGTTTAAAGTTCTAGTCTGCAGTCTGAAAATATTAAAAATATTAAATTTTAAAAATCAGAAATACGTTTATATGATGCAATTACCAGAACTGGCCACTACAGGGAACTGGCCATTACATTATATAGGTAATCGGCCACCATTTTGCCTAGTCTCTCGCCAGTTTGAGGCAGTTCCCACTACCCCCTGAGCATTGTTGTCACCAGACATCCTTGGTTACTGGCCTTACAGAGCTCTGAGTCCAACAGATTATAGGGTTCGCTATTGTCCACAGTTTTCAGTATCCGTGGAGGAGTGGGCTTGGAACTGATCCCTCATGGATACGGGGATCCTACTGTAAAATAAATGAAGAAGGCAGTGACTTAAACAAGGCACATGAATCAGTCCACATTGAAAACTGGATGCTGTTTCACTGTTGTCCACCATGTACCAAACAGATCACTCTATGTGTGGATTCCCCCCCCATGACCGACCTAAGGAGAAATTCACCCAGTGGTCGCAAAGTGGAAAGCCCTATTGCTTCAAACAGCAAACTCCAGTACACACAGCTGTGAGATGATGGACGGCTGCATGGTACACTATAGGCCTGCTGAGGCGCTGCACTCCAAAACCATCAACAAGATGGTCCTCTGCATTTAATTAGGCACATTTGTTTAAAGATTTGTTTTAGAATGGTTAAACCATAACCATCCAACCTTTATTTGTGCATAAAGAGAACACTACCATGGAATGCAGATCTGGGGAACCAATGTCTCTCCAGTTGTTGCTAAATCAAAGCTGCCACCCCAATTAGCCATGCTAGCCTGGCAGTGATGGGAAATGGAGCCCAACATCTGGAGAACCAGAAGCTCCCCAGGCCCCACATTACCTGCATGAAAACTGGGAAATGGTAGGGAGGAAGTATTGGAAGGAGACGCATGCATTTAGAAAGTGATCAAAAAAGTGATTATTCGACATTTTATCCTGTATTTCACATAACAAGTTATCTGCACACACAATAAACCACAGCACAAACTGGATGGCTTCAAATCAGTATGCAGAATAGCTCTTCACACTGCAGATGGAAGATGCCAGTCCTATTTTTATGCAGAGTGTAGGCTTCTGTTTGTCAGTTCTGTAAACCAAGCTAAGAATGGTGCGAAAGAGGGTAAAGCTTTAATAATGCCTAACTTCCTAATGTTCTTGGACTACAACTCCCAGCAATCCTGGCCAGCACAGCTAGTGGTGAAGGCTTCTGGGAGTTTTAGTCCAATAACTTCTGGGGACCCAAGGTTGGGAACCACTGCCTTAGAGCAAATCAAGAAAGGTTTTTAAAACTCTTACGGTCCTGTTATTTCAAGGTTATGTTGACAAGCCTAAGAGACACTTAACGCCAAGCACTAATGTTTTCATAGCTGAAGACAAATTTAAACCCAAGGCTCCAACTATCAACAGTAACTCTAACAAGAAAGAGGAAGGTATTATACTTGTTTCAGTTGTATCAAACAACAGATTTACCACCAGAAAGACTTCTTGTAGACTGATTACAGCGGGAACAAAGATCTTTTCTAAAGAACCATCTTCTGTCCAGATGTTTTATGCTGCCCCATGCTTTCCACTTACAGCATTAACATTACCTATTAACATTATACTCCTCTTCCTGGCCCCCTCGTAGGCCACTCAAGACATTTTCATGCGGGATTATGAAGTAAGCAGGCCGGAGGAACCACGGATTCTTCATCTTCTGCTTTAGCACATGGTGATAAATATACTGTACGATTATCCACTGTCCAGTTAGTAAAAGACAACTCGCTCTACAGATAGCACAGATCATGAGGGGAGCATAGAATGTTAACAAAAATGGAAACACCAATCCTTGACACAACCCACTTTCAAAACCTTTCTGGGTTAGCATTAGACTTGCAAAGCCCACCTGTCAATAGTTTCCCACTTAATTTCTTCACTTAGCAAGCTGCCTTTATTGGATTCCAGTCAAATCTCAGAAAAATACAGGCAATCTGAGCCAGCCTTACATTCCAATCATTAGAAATCTTTCCCATTATTAATGTAATAAATAATATATTTCTGTTTATACATCATTTTATATCCACAACAGCCACCAGATCTCCTAGACCACAAATAATAGTTTTCAGGTTAAAAAGAAGCTGCCAATGTAAGAACAGCATGATCTGATTTTTTAATATATATTTACATTTACCTCATGTTCTACGAGAACATCTACATGGCTATTCCGTCCCATTCTGGAACCTCATTAAAGTTACCACAGACCAAACTCTGAACCACCCTGAATGTTAAGAAGTTTGTTTTTTAAAAAGTTATTTAATGTCAAAGTGAGTGCGTGTTTGTTTGCCCTTTTATTAAAAAAATTGTATTTCAAAATGGGGAATATTTTACCTTAAAATAGTAAGGGATGAAGCAACGAAGTGGCGGTAACACAGCATACTCCACACACAAAAAGAGGGCAGTAGAAAAGAAGAAGAAGAAAAGTGAAAGAACTGTCTAACCTGAACAAAATACCTACTGAAGGGGTCACAATGAAGCCATTATTACTTATAAGTCTTTATGGGGTCCCTTTCCTCCCATTATCATCTTTCCTCAAAGATTGTGTATGCTTATGAGAGGGAGCAAAAATCCACACAGACGGTATGTCCAAGGCAGCAAAACCTTTGTCACCTCCAATTTAGGGGTGGGTGGGGATTATTGTCTTTAGAGTCCCTGAGGTAAACAATTAACTTAAGTGTTTAAGGCAAAGCTGTAGGGCAAGGATTAAGCTTCACAGGAAACCCACCACTGGCAGAAATGCAAAGGGCGCAGTAACATATTAAAATAATAATACTAACAAGATAGGGTGGTCTTATCTCCTTTCCACTCATCCCCCACTTGCCATCAGAACTGAAATGTGATCTGGCTGGCCTACAGGTGGAATATGGGGAGGGTTGTTTAGAAAGTGCACCTACGGCATAATCTTTTGCCCAGAAGTGAAACCAGCTGGGCTACAGCTAGAATGACAAAAATGTTACCAACGATTTATAAAAAGAGAGCGAGAGGCTTCAATATTCCCAACTGATGTCATCTTTCTGAAGGGAGCTCTGGATGCTTTGCATTTCCCTCAGCAACTGCAAGCTCTTCTTGCCGCGCTCACCTGGCTTCTCCTTCAGGCCAAAGTCTTTCACCTTGACAGGAAAGGGCACCATTCTCTCTTCGCCACTGATCCGTCGTGGCTCTTCAGAACTCGACCGCTTGCTTTTGCTGTGTCTCCTGTGTTTCTCCAGCTAAAAGAGGGATGAGGAGAGCCGCCATTTAAGAATGGCCACCTTCACGTCATAAAAACATTCTCTCCCATAGCCAATCCTGACACCCAACAGTCTCTCCATCATGATCGTGAGACTGTGCAATACAGAGGGTTGTTGTGTTTTAAATTTTAAATCATAGTTCAAGATGGGGTCATTTCAAAAACCTCTGCAAGCAATGTTATACTCCTTGTAATTAATCTGTCTCTGTTAAAGGTGTCCTGTTGGGGAGTGGAGAAAAGGAAATATACAAAAAGAGAAAGAGAGAAGAGGGCTTCCCACACATTCTAGCTGTCCTCTGATTGTGTGTGGTGTCCGAAACACTGCCCCCCAAATGTATGGAACCCTCAAGAGAAACAAAAATGTTGTTCACACTTGTTGTTAAGGAAACATCTTGGAAGCCGAATGTGCGAGCACCATTACAGATTTTTCACAATCCATAATTGTATAAAGAATTCAACTCACCAGTGCTAAAACTGGAAAGGATTGGTTCCTGGTCCCAGTTTTAAAGCACAGAATCTCAGGGAGCAAGGACAGTGCTCCTGACTTTGGTGAGCTGCTCCTGATCAGAGCAGACAGCAAAGACTGGAAAAGTTAGCATTTTGGACCCATAGCCAACATCCTACTGGCTGGAGAATTCAAAATCCAAAAATTGAACTTTTCTATGCTCTGCAACTTGGTCAGAAGTTCTGTGTTCACAGCAGAAGTCAAGAAGCACTTCCCAATTTATTGTCTCTCTCAAAGGCTTCAAGTAGCTCAGTTGCTATGGAACTTTCCACTTATGCTTACCCATATTACTCTGGACAAAGAATCACAGAATAATTGAGCTGGGAGGGGCCTAAAAGGCCATCAAGTCCAACTCCCTGCTCAAAGCAGAAATCCAAATCAAAGCAGCTCCGAAGGACGGTTATCCAATTTCCTTTTAACTGCCTCCAGCGCTGGCGCAATCACCACCTCCTGAGATAATTGTACAGCTCTAATAAGAGGAAATCCAAATCAAAGCAGCTCCGAAGGACGATTATCCAATTTCCTCTTAATTGTACAGCTCTAATAGTTAAGAGGGTTTTTTTTCATGATATTCAGCCTAAATCTAGCTTGAGCTCAATATTGCATGTGCATGATATTCAGCCTAAATCTAGCTTGAGCCCAATATTGCATGTGCTGCACTCCAGGATAATTGAGAACAGATCCAGGCCTTCCTCTGTATGACTACCTTTCAAGTATTTGAAAAATGTTTTTAACATCTCCCCTCAAACTTCTTTTCTCAAGGCTAAACATGCTCAGTTCTTTCAGTCTTTCCTCACAGGACATAGTTTCCAGCCCCCTATCATCCTTGTTGCCCTCCTCTGAATTTGTTCCAGTTCCTCAGCATCCTTCTTGGTGTAGTGTCCAGAACTGGACAGAGTACTCTAGATGAAGCCTAATCAGCTCTGAACACAGGGGGACAAATATATCACAGGATTTGGAGATTACACCTCTGTTAATGCCTCCTAAAACTGCATTTGGCTTTTTTGCAGCCACCCTGCTCTGTTGGCTCACATTCAACTTTTGATCCACAACAAACCCAAGATTCTTCTCACTTGTAGTATTACTGAGCCAAGTATCTCCCATCTTTTAAAGTGTGCATTTGGGTTTTTTTACTACTAGATGTACAACATCTGTGTTTCCACCTCAACCTAAAGCATATCTAAAGGAGAGAAAAACCTTCACAATTGATTACTTCACTGACACCAGATGGAAGTTGCCAAAATACCTCACCCGTGCCTGATGCTTTTTGATTTTTGAGATCTGTTCAGCTTTGGCCTCCATCTTTTTCACCAGAACTTCCAGTTCCCTCTCCAGGTCTTCTCGTAAGGCAACGGTCGGAGCTTCGTGGATCAGTTTTGCCAAATGCTGGTGATCACTTAAGCACAATGGAAAGATAGGGAGCCGGGGGGGGAATGGGTTAAAAATGCTTAAGTTTGTTAAGAATCTCTTGGTTACACCTTTTCACACAGTGGGGGACAGAAGTACCTTCCCCATCCCAACCCAATGCCTACAGAGGTCTCTTCTCTTGCTATTTCAAATGGGCAAGAAAATGCTCATCCCAGAAGCAGCACCCAGCCTAATTGACTGTTTTAAATGCAATCACTGATGCTGCACGCAATATCACAGATTTACTTTCCTTTGAAAGATCTTCCTTCTTCTAAACAGAATTAAAAATTCTGCCTTGCACAAAGAGGAAGCAAAAGGAAATCCAGAGGGAGCCAGAGACTATACTATGTATTGTACAGCATTTGCTATTAAAGTAAGAGTTCGCTGTAATCCACGTGTTCCAGCATCCAAGTGGGCTGGAACCAATGTCTTCAAAACTTTCAACTCACAAACTCATCTGCCCAAGTTCATCTTGCAAAGTCAGCAGCACTTCAGAAAGGTCTCCCTGGGAAGAGGACGAAATGGACGACAGGGAAGATCGCCGGCCTCTGCTTGCCTGTTGACTCAGGGGGATTTCGCTGACCACCCGGTCATTACAAAGGGCTCTTGAGTGATGCTTCATGAGGTGCAGCACATGCTGCACATTGGCTCCCACTGAATGGCTGGGGCTGGTAGACTGAAAGTTAAGAGAGAGAAGAGACCAAGGAGACCAAAACTATTGCCGGTGTATTGAATGCTAAGTGCATCCACTCACTGAGAACTGATAAAATGCAACCCATTTTCTGAAGAAAGACACTGAGTTTTTCAATGTATTCGCAAAGGTTTTCACAGCCGGGATCTAATGGTTGTTGTGGGTTTTTTGGGCTCTTTGGCCGCGTTCTGAACAAAGAGCCCGAAAAACCCACAACAAACACTGAGTTTTATTGAACAAATAAATATAGCTGTTCAATCCATTATTATAGAATACATATAGATACATATGCATGTACATATGTATATTTGTACACATACACACTCACACACAATGAAAAAAGCTTAATTGCTGAACATATGGCAACTAATGACAGACCACTAGATCCCATACTGGGAAAGATGAATAGGTTCTATGGAGAGATGAGAGAATATAATTTTTTCATAACCAAAAAAAAAAACTGTTTACAAGTTTAAACAGACTTTTTTAAATTTTCAAACTGCGTATCATGGACAATTAATATTATTTTTAGTAAAGAAATTATCTGGCCTTGGTAGCCAGAGGCGTGGTATAAAAGTTGAATAAATAATAAATAAGATATTTACATTTATCTTGTTTTTCTGCCTGTAAACATGGGTCTGGACGATGGTAAAGGAAAGATGGGGGGGAATTGAGCAATATTCCAAAATGAAAATGAAGTTGTGATACAAAGGTTCGAAATCTATTGCTTTAGCCATTGCGTCCTAGCCTCGGGTCTCCAGGTGCCCATAGACTGCAACTCCCAGAAATCCTGCTCAACACAGCTAGTAATGAAGGCTTCTGGGAGTTTTAGTCTTAAGAACATCTGGGGAACAAAGGCTGGGAACCATTGCTGTAGGCACTACAAGCTGACAGAAAGATACTTCACAACAGATCGATCTGCAAGCACATTAAGTAACTACAGTGGGGTCTCAACTTACGAACGGCTCGACATACGAACGTTTCGACTTATGAACCACTCTCATAGGAATATATGGACTCGACTTACGAACTTAGATTCGAGTTACGAACTCTTTCCCCCCCTTTTTTTTAAAGCTAAGTCATCTTAGGTTAAAAGGAAAAAAAGAAAAAATATCCCCCTCTAGTGGCAGAAGGTGGAATAGCAGCTTCCCATTAGTTTCTATGGACAAAAGAGCAGATACGGATTAAATGGTTTTCGATGCATTCCTATGGGAAATGCAGATTCGACTTAAGAACTTTTCGACCTGAGAACTGCCTTCCAATACGGATTAAGTTCTTAAGTCGAGACCCCACTGTACTAGCAAATGGAAATAATGCAAATGTTACTATATGTCAAAGCAGACAAAAATATGTAAACATTCAACTCTTTAGACCAGTGGTCCTCAACCTTGGGCCTCCAGATGTTCTTGGACTACAACTCCCAGAAGTCTTCACCACCACCTCTGCTGGCCAGGATTTCTGGGAGTTGAAGTCCAAGAACATCTGGAGGCCCTAGGTTGGGGACTACTGCTTTAGACCATAGAAAGAGGCAGCGGAGCCAGGAGATCGCTTTGATCCCTTCCCCCCTCTTCCTATGCCGCCATCGGGCACAGAAAGAGGGGGAAAGCCCGATGCAAGCCATCCCTCATCCCCAGGGGTGGGTTTCCCTTCCGGTAGGCTTTAGGAAGCCACTGGAAGGGAAAATCTCTCTCTGCTTATACCCCTGAGGAACAGCTAATCTGCAGGGGCATAAGCAGATAGGGGGTGACGGGACAAATATAAAAGGGTTATATTCGTTGCTTCGTATTCTTTGGGGTCTCTGGACAACGAATCAGAGATATTCGTTGAATATCCTGATTCATTCTTATATTCGTCCCCATGTCTAGTCAAAACCATTTGGGAATCTAGGATTAGGAAAGGCTGAGACATTGCCTCTGAACACAGAGTTACCACTAAGTTAAGCCATTTTTCCTTACCTTTCCAGCAACAAATGGCACATCACCCAAACTCAGCCTGTAATGAGGCTGAGGATGGAAGTGGCTCGTTCCAGAGTCATTCTAAGAAAAGAAAGCAAAAAGGGACACTCTCACTAGAAGAAACAATGCAGAGCTCACCCCCATGTTATATTCGATACACAGGTAAGTGTTGACTTGAAAGTTGAGAGAGCTGGAATACTTGGATTTGATTCACACAGGAGCCAACCTGTGTAGCCTTGGGCAAGCCGCACAATCTCAAAGCACACCCAGAAGAGAATGGCAAACCACGTCTGACTATTTTCTACCTAGAAAGCTCTGGGAACTGTTGCCATAACCCTGAATTAACTTTGCAGAATTCTTATTATAAGATGGGACCATTAACTCAGTCTACTCAAACTTTAGAAAAGTTACTTTTGGGGACGCCAGTGGACATACTGACTGGGAAATTCAGGGAGTTGTACTCCAAGAAACTCCATATCGATCAGACTACACCAATGTATTCTAAGCTGGTATTCAAAACCATTCTTCCCAGATCTAAGGGGCGGCGGGGGGGGGGAACCTTGCTAGATCAGTCAAAGCTCTCCTACTAGAGTCTCTGGTATTGCAGCTATAAAGCAGATCATGGAGGAAACAACCAGAGAACCTTGTTTGGTGCTACCATTAAAAAGGCCCTGCTTCAAGAGAACAGCCACTAAGCAATGATGCCTTCATTCAGCAATGCCACGTGAAGTGCCATTTTATTCAGCAGTGCTACTGCTCAGCCAACGATCCCTCGGAGCAGTGCTTTTTAATTGTGGTGTCATCGAGGCTGCTCAGAAGCCAACATTCATGTTCTTTTTGCTGTTTAATCCAAAACCTTGGCTCCTTCAAAAAGCTTTTCTTCAGTGTGGTCCTGCTTTTAGATTTTTACCCAGGAATTCTATAGTAGAGTTATTTATAATAATCTATGCCTGTTTTTGTTGCCATGGCACTATATGTTCTAGAAGTGTGCAAATTTGCACCTTTCAGCTATCATGATCCGAACTTTTCAGAGCTTCTACCCTGTTGCAGAACTACAGCAGGTCCTAAAGCAGAGATTGTCTGCCTCTGAATTTTGGATTTTGTTTTCTTCTCAATACTAAAGACAGCAGCTTCTGTTTGTGCACATACCTTATCCAGCTGCTTTACTTTCTTCTTTGCCTTCTTTGGTTTTGAAGGTCCAGACGCCAGGACTGCCTGCTTCTGTGCCTGCAACAACCTTCGATTTGCTTCCAATCCAGTCTGAAGCTGTCGAGACAAGCCTGGGAATTATTATTCTTTCCTTAAAATCAATATAATAGGAGATGAGGGTTCAAATTTCTGTTGAGTCACTGAAACTCATGGGAAGGGAGGCTGAAAATGATAAACTACTCCTTGACCATTTCACATATGAGAAAAAAGAAAAAACCCTATTAAGGTCACAATAAATCAGAAGCAACCTGGTAGTGTGCAACACCACCACAAGCTGAAACTCAAGGATGTAACAGAAAAGAAATAACTATTAGCATATTGACTTTTGATCAGCCAAAAAACTGAAATTATCCCCAAATAATTCCTCGGGGGATTTGAACACTTCCTTGCTGTTTCTACCCCAAAGATGCCTCTGAAGTCCCAAACGGAGGAAATCAGGAAGAAAACACAGGGATATAATTACAGGAAAGAGGAAGATTAAGCACTCTTTACTGTAACTTGGAAAAGGTACATTTTTACCTCAGCTGGGAAATTCTGAGAATTACAGCCCAAGGAAACATCTAGTTCTCCCCTCCATTTTGTACCCTTCCCTTTGCAACAGAAGCTGATCAGGAACCTGGGTGTCCCCCATTCCCTTTGCTGCTCCTCTGAAATCTTGTTTGGACCAAAAAGGCAGCAGAGGGACATTTGACAACCATTTTACCCCAATCATCCCCAAGCTGTCACTCTTGGGGTAAAGGTAAGGGTTCCCTTGACATTTAGTCCAGTCGTGTCTGACTCTAGGGCAGTGGTTCTTAACCTTTGGTACTCAGGTGTTTTTGAACTGCAACTCCCAGAAACCCCAGCTAGCAGAGGTAGGTAGGTAGGTAGGTAGGTAGGTAGGTAGGTAGGTGGGTGGGTGGGTGGATAGATGCTTGGCTGAAGATATGCCATATTTTTCAGTTTATTGGACTGAAATAAATTTATGGATAACTGGACCCCAAAGCAAGTGACGTGAGTCCGATGCGCAATAACTATTCCTCTGAACAGGCAGCAGCCGCTCCTTCTACAGAGTATATAAAGACCATGCTAGCCCTCCTTACCTCAGCAGCTTTTTCCTGCACCAGTTTCCGTGCCCGCTCTTCCTCTTGGAGCTTCTCCTCCAGTTCTTTCATTTTTTTCTAAGTCAGAAAACAAAAAGCAGACGTCTCCCGCAGATGTAATACGATGAACAGCTAAGCACCAACACAATGGAGCAGACCGGAGAAACCTCCTTTGAACCTTGGAACTGCAGAGCTGGAAGGGACCCTTAGGATCATCAAGTCCAGCCCCTCTCAAGGAAAAACAGTAGAGAATCAA